ATGCAGTCCTTTTACATTTATAACATATTTTTTCTTTCAGGCCACTTCTCCATTTCCGTCATTTCTCATCGTCTCTCTCTCTCTCTCTCTCTCTCTCTCTCTCCCTCACTCATCTTCTCTCTTTCTTTCTCTCTCTACACTTGTCTTCATTTCTTTTCCATCTTCTCTCTTATCTTCTTTTGCTCTCTAAAATGGTCTTTATTTCTTTTTCATCATCCTTCTCATCTTCTCTCTCTCAACACTTGTACGCTTGTCTTCATTTCTTTTTTATCTTCTCTCTCATCTCTTCTCTCTCTCTCTCTCTCCCTCTCTCTTTACACTTCTCTTTATTCCTCTTCCATCTTCTCTCTCGTCTTCTTTCTCTGTCTCTATCTACACTTGTCTTTATATTTTTCTATCTACTCTCTCTACACTTGATTTATTTCTTTTGCAACTTCCCTCTCATCTTCTCTCTCTCTCTCTCTCTCTCTACACGTGTCTTCATTTCTTTTCTATCTTCTCTCTCATCACCTATCTCTCTACACTTCTCTTTATTTTTCCATCCTCTCTCTCTCTCTCTTTATCTCTCTCTCTACATTATTACTTTGTTTCCTTCCAATCTTCTCTCTCATCTCCTCTTTTTCTACATTTGTCTTCATTTTTTATCTATTCTCTCTCTCTCCCCACTTGTCTTTCTTTATTTTTATTTTTCTCTTTCATCTTCTCTCTCTCTCTCTTTCTCTATCTCTCTCTCTCTCTATCTATCTATCTATCTATCTATCTATCTATCTATCTATCTATCTCTTTCCACCTTATCTTTATTGCCATGTTTACGACGTTTCGGCCGGTGTGCGCTCCAGCCTTTAGGTAATTGAAATTATAATTATAATTACAATACCTCATATCATAAACACACACATACATATATATATATATATATCATATTATGTTATATTATATTATATTATAAAAAAAATGACAATTGAAAAAAATCTTAGTTTTTGTCGACACGTTTCGTCTTCCGACTTTATCAAGACAAACAATGAAAGTGAAATGTTTAGTTGTTATAGTTACATTAAATCTAAATCTTAAAAAAGAGATACGATCCCGCATAAGCCTCTTTCTGAATAATGGTAACTTTTTCATTTATACTTAGAGTTTGTTTTTTGTTTTCCATGTCGACAATATAGTTAATGTCCAATTGTCACTTTATACCAATTTGTTGTATCCACAAAATTATCCTAGGAAATTTTTTTTTAAATTTCCAATTGTCATTCTTATATATATATATATATATATATATATATATATATATATATATATATATATATATATATATGTAATAAAAAGAAAGAACAGTAAGATATATAATCCGGTGTTCTTCAGTATCTGTCTATATTTCTATATATTATGTACGTGCCAATTAACAGGAGATAACTGATAACTGACATCCATTAAACATGACACGTGGAACTAGAACAGCCTACCCCAGTGAGCGAAATAAAGGGTTCAGTTCGACATTCCAACCACCTGAAGAAGGCCAGAGCGTACAACGGCCGAAACGTTGTAATAAATATGGCGACAAAGATGAGGACAATAGTCCAAATAATGTAAATAATGTCCGGTGTTCTTATTGACATTTTTATTTTTACAAAACAGTGTTCAATGTAAAATTACAGAGCATAAATATTATAAATTAACTGATTTAAAATAACTGATTTAAAATATGGTTTCTTTGCTACGCAGGAATTACCATGTTTCAAAAACCGAAGCTAACCGCTTCACATTTAATTATATAATTAAATTAAAAGCATTAGTTCTGTTTCATCTTCAAGCGAATTTTGGACTCAGTTATTTTAAATCAGTTATTTTAAATCCGTTAATTTATATTTTAAATCAGTTAATTTATAATTTAACAGTTAATATATATATTATATATATATATATATATATATATATATATATATATATATATATATACCTCTCCTCTCGAGAGATTTTTTCTTCAATCTTTTTCGTTCATTCGTTCAAATTTTGTTACATTCCTTCAGTGAACCTTAACCGAATTCCTTAGTATCTTAGCCGACTTTTCCCAGAACCCACTTGACCCCCCCGTTACCCACAGTGAAATGCCTCACCTGCCACTTTTATCGCAGGTGTACAACATCTTTAAAACTTTCCTCTTGAAACCTTCGTTGTTAGTAAACAGCTGTATCTCTTCTACCGGTCGGCCATATTACTTTATATTCTTATGGCAAGTTGAGAGTTCATCGCTTACTCTGTATTGTACTTGTTAATTGGCTCCTGGCATTAATTCCAGATGCGACAGAGATTATCAGTAGAAATCTAAATACAGGGGTTTTATGAAGTTCACTTTTCTGTTTGCAAGACATTTCATGAGCGATTGGCCAATTAAGGAGTTGAAACAGCGTATATTCCGAATGTTTTTTTTTTCAGTATAAATGTTAGGACATTGCCAATCAAAGATCTGTTGACTCTCATCACAACGTTTCGATTAATGTTTCTAGGCACTATCAAAATAGACTCGTTCAATCGCCAAAAATAGGGAAACATTTTATGGAAATCATTTGTGGAGATTAGCATTAATTAGGCTTTTCTGAATTTGCGACATTTGTCAGAATCGAAAATATTGATTTTTTTATCGATTCTGTGTCAAATCGATCTTTGATTTTTATAGTTATTGGCCTTAGTTTGAGTCACTGTTTTTGCAAATATCAAGTTTGAAAATTTGCTAACATCATTTATATTTGTATATTTCTTTTTATTTTCTGAATATTTTTAAACCATTTTTTACCTTTTTTTTAAACCTTTTTTATAACATGTTTAACCTTTTAAAGATTATTTATTACATTTTTTAATCTTTTTTAACTTTTTAAAACCTTTTTTAAGTTTTTAAAAACTTTCTTAACCTCTTTAATCGTTTTAACCTTTTTGTAAGCCTTTTTAAAATTCTTTTTTTAACCTTTTTTATAACATTTTTAACCATTTTTCAAAATTTTTACGTTTTTTAAAACATTTTGAATTCTTTTTTAACTTTTTAAAAAATTGGCTTAAGATGTTTTAAATAATTGTATGGAATCGCTTACACAAACATTTGAGGTTTTATAATTATTTGTCTTAGATTAAGAATAAACAGATAAATAATTTTATTAATATATGTAAATAGGTGTGTTTTAATTAAAAATATACCTCTGTTTGTTGGTTGATTTTGGCTAGCGAGATATCTAAATATTTTTAACACAACTTTATGGCTTCAACTAAACATATTTTGAACGCAATTGTATGCCTTCAATTACAGATAAAATGTATTGTTGGTTTTTCTGCTATAAAATGTATTGATAATTTTACTATAAATAGGTATTATTGGTAATTTTTTATATAAAAATGTATTGCTCGCATCCTCATCATAAAAACGTATTTCTATACTTTCATAGTGCTTTGTTTTTGTTTAGGGTTTCACTATTTGTAAATAGCTGTGACCCCCCCCCCCAAACACCTGCTACAATACCGAGTCAGGGTTGATCTGGGAACAAGAGCAATTGAGAGGTGGTTCCATGCTCCTAAAAACCTCGAATCTCCCGATCAGAGGCCTTGCTGCCGGATGTAGTTTATCGTCATACCAAGGACTACATCCGTTTGATCATTACTTAGAAGAAATCTTTTTGTAATTCCACCTCATAAAGTTTAATGTACCTAGTTTAAAGTATAGCTAAAATAACTAATGTGATTTCAGGCATTACTGTAAATCAGTTGGCAAATGTTTTCCGTGAACTGCAAAATCGTATTACCCTTTGTATTGATAATGATGGAGGACGTATGGAAACTTAAATAAAATTTCAATAAATCCTTAAAAAATATAGATTTACTTCTTTCTAATCATTTTTATAAATTATTTCTATCGCAAATACAAATAAAGTTATGATTTTTTTTTTAAGTGCACACGAACTTTATGGACACCCTGTATAAATCTTTATTTGAAATATTTTACATGCAGGCACTTCAAACTTTGTACTTTTAGTTAACATTAATTGGAACTGAAAAACATATTATTTAGGTAAGAAAATCAGGTACTGAAAATTGTAATTAAAAATAGAAAAATTTGCGTTGGGTACTATATACCCATGGATAGTGTTCTAGGGTTAAATGGTGTCTGTTTCTACTCTTACAAAGTATCAGAACATCAGTTTTTTCAAAAGTCTGCTATTAAAATTATAGAAATAATGATTGTTATATCAGAATCCAAACATCATAATAAACGATGCAAAATATCGTCTGTTGGATGTAATGATCAGATTTAAAGAATTCCCTAAGAGAAATACCATATAATGACAACGAAATGAAGTGTGTCCTTGACGCTTTTCATGTTAGAAAAATGGTCAGCTCATTCTATCACTCCAGGAAGAACTTGACTTCTTCTGCCATGGTTTACCTTTACAAGTGTCAGATTTCACCAAAAATAAGGTACTGCTGGGTTGGAGATGCACGGTCTTCACATTCCAAACTTGATAGAATTCAGAATTGCTTAGCGCTTTTTATTTTTTTTATTTTATTTTTATGGGGGAGGAGAGAGTTATTCTTCATTATACAAGCTCTTTATCGCAGAAAGCCTATCACTACTCTGTCTCCTCCTCCAGTGCAAATGTTCAGATAAGCCCCATTCTTCAGTTCTACCAGTTTAGACCCTTACGGCTAAGACCAACCATGTTACGCCCACCGAGTCAAATCAACCTCATTTCTCCCGTATTCCAAATCTAAGAAGGAAGTTCCATTCAGACAAGGATTTCCAATTTGTGGAACAGATTCCCATGTTGATGCCTCCATGAACGCAACAATCTTAACCACTTCAGGTCAAAGGTCAATTGTTATCTGTCTTCTTTATCATTATAATCTTCACTCCCTACCGCTGTCATTTTAATTCATATCCTATATTTCATTGAGTGGCTTTCTAGCCTTATATTGGGTGAATTTTAGTATAAAATGCAGCCATGTTGTTATGAGTGTCATAGTATTCCGATGGCAGAGATTTGCACTTATTGAAAGATTGCAAAATCATTTTGGCATAAAAAAAACATCTGGACAAACAGTTTGGAAAATCTAAGCGCACAACATCTGCAGTAAATAGCTTTGAAGCCATTATAAAGAGAATATAAGCAAAGTATCTCTACCCAAATGTAAGGGGAATCTCAGTAGTAGATCCTGTCCAATATTAAGGAATTGCAATAAAGAGGTTCTAAGCATAATCCGCAGGTAACAATAAGGTGACTCTAAACTAACCTATAATTAACTATTCACTAGATGAACCAGTTACAACAAAGCCTCAAACACTGCGGGATAGTGAGACAGAAGAGCTGGTGTGATTAATCAATCAATCATAGATAGATAGATAGATAGATAGATAGATAGATAGATAGATAAGAACAGATAAATAGATAGATAAGAACAGATAGATAAATAGATAATAACAGATAGATAGATAGATAGATAGATAGATAGATAGATAAGAACAGATAGATAGATAGATAAATAGATAGATAAGAACAGAGAGATAAATAGATAAGAGCAGATAGATAGATAGATAGATAGATAGATAGATAGATAGATAGATAGATAAGAACAGATAGATAGATAGATAGATAGATAAGAACAGAGAGATAAATAGATAAGAGCAGATAGATAGATAGATAGATAGATAGATAGATAAGAACAGATAGATAGATAGATAGATAGATAGATAAGAACAGAGAGATAAATAGATAAGAGCAGATAGATAGATAGATAGATAGATAGATAGATAGATAGATAGATATGAACAGAGATAGATAGATAGATAGATAGATAGATAGATAGATAGATA